TCCCCAGCCCCTCTGAGGTGCTGCCCCTTTCCTCCGGGATCTGAAGCGCTGAGAGCGCCTGCGAGGGGTGCTGGCGGGGGGGTCCGGGCGCGACAGAGTGGGGCTGCAGGCAGAGGAACCTGTAGGTCTGCGGTGACTTCATCCACAGAAAGAAGAGAAGGCACAAAATACTGATGTTAATAAAGCGTAACATTCCCCACATGTTTTATTCAAATTTCCTAGTGCGTTAGTAGTATTAACTGACTGGCTTCAGAGTCAGCATCAGTATTCATTAGGACAGCATTTGTCCACTCCTGTTAACTTCAGTGACAGACTCTTATCAACTACGACCTTAATAATTGTTAAGTTACTCATTTTACACATTAAAAGCCAATGAGTCAGCTAGCACCTGATGAAGAGCTGGTGTTGGCACTCTGGACTTTCAAGTCCTCTTTGATCACAATATATCGCTGCTTCCTCCTGTGTAAGTGAAACACCTGCGCTAAAAATAATCTGGGTAAAATGGCAGCTCTGTAAAGGCTTTGATTTGACACAGTTGTAAATTAGCGACATAGCTCTTGTTGACTGACAATAGCTCTAAGTGAAGAGCGTGATAAATCATCTCAAATGACAGATGTACGTTTTTAAGAGTACAACATGTAGAGAAATAATCACATAAATGTGGTGTTCCCCCTGTCTTTTTCCCCACACATATGCTGAGATATTTTAAGAGCACAGGATGGGGTACATTTAGATCTATAAAATTATGTCTTCCTACTTCGTGCTCATTTGCTTGCTCTTAAAGGGTCTCCAAAGCACCACCGGTTTTGGGCAGATGCTACATGACCCCATGAGCTATTTAAACCTTCCGATACGGATTGTTTTCTCTGTTCTGAATTGTAGTCTGGAAAACATCTGCTTGTGGTTGCAGAGGAACTTAGTCTGGAGTGAGGGAAATGGACGGAGGACCACATCGGAACACAGGGAACCGGCCATGAAACAGGCCTGAACCAGCCAAAACTGTGTGGGCTGTGTCAGAGAATTATCTAATGATTCCAGGACACATGGTTCGCTTTATCCTCATTGCTGCTTCCTGGCTCCACCTACTAAAGTTAATTCAAAGCCCTGGTCCAGCAGCCATGTATTTCTTATGTGCTTCTTGATCTGCTATATGCATTTATCAACCATTCTGAAATTATTTTTTCCTGCCTGTTCTTTTAACAGGGTTCTTCTCTGTGGTTTGTTTGGTTTTTGTTTTTGTTCTTTTAAATTAGTATGGAGCTTTTGATCCTCAATTCTTATATGTGAATTTTTCTCTAGAAGCTGCAGAATCTTATATGCTAACAACAATGTAAGATTTAAATTAGAAAAATATTGATTTCAAAAATTCCAATCCTATTTGTAGCATATTTTATATATGATACCATAAATAAATTACCTCTCTGTTGGGTTCCCATATGCTGGGATCTGATTTTGTCTACATTTTTTTGCTACAATAACCATTAAGTAGTTAGGAAAACCCTTTGATCATATACACTCGTGTAAAGTGAAACAGTTGCAACTTGGAGGGCTGATGATAAAAAAAAATAAATATAAATTGCAAGGGACTTCTTGAGATCATCCAGTTCAATCTCTACCAGACTGGAAGCAAACCACATTTTTCCATGACCACCTGATTTAAAGAAGTTTGGATTACTATGTA